GTGGGAGCCAGGGTGGCAACTGAAAGAGCGAGGGTACTATCTAGGATGAGAAAAGGCCCAGTGGGCCTGAGGCTGATGCAAGCACACAAGCTTGAACACCAGAGCCAGCCAGCCCTTCTGTAAACGAGTGGAGGCCAGGCAGGCAGCCACCAGTCTGGACATGGATATGGTTTCTCAGTGGTAATGTTTTATTTCACAATTCAGGGGCTCACAAAACTAGAAAGTACCTGAGAGTTCTGTTTGATCCTCATTTCTTACAAATGGCAAGCAAGCTTGAGCCCCAGAGTAGGGCAGGGCCTAGCCCAAGGTCATAAAGTCACACACCTAGTGAACCAATCCCTGTCTGCACCTGGCTGCTTCACACCCTGGCCAGTTCCCTTAGAGGGACCCAAATCAGATCTGAGCTTCCTGTCCTATGCCCCCATCCCATCCAGGATGCTGACCCTGCTGACCTCCATCCCCACTCCATCAGGCTTCCGGCTGGGGCTCAGAGACTGCCTTTGCAGCTGCTCCCTTGCCCCTGTGTAGCTGGAAGGCAGCCCTCTCCTGCAGATCTAGAACTGGAGACTCTAGAGGCAAAGGGACAGCGCATCCTGTATGTCTCGAATTCAGAGCAAGAGCCCAGGGGAGGGTGGCGGCCCTGGCATCTCAGGATCACTTTGCTGTAAGAGCAGGGGTAGGCAGCTCAGCAGCACAGCCTTCTTGGGAGTGGATTTGGACTTGCTCTCTTTAAGGTCCCAGGGTCCCATCCCAGCTCTGCCACCAGCAGGCACGTGGTCTTGGGTAAATGACTGCACCTCTGGGGTTCAGGGTCTTCAGTGTAAAGGAGGGAGTGGAAGGGAGAGAGCAGCATGCCCTTCCCGGAGGTGTGACACAGAGCCGAAGCAGGCAAAGGGGAAGCTGCGGGTCCACCAGGCAAACCCAGGGCTCGAGGTGCAGAAGTTGACAGCCAGGCCAGGTAGCCTCTTAGCAGGGATCGGAAGGGCAGAGGCGGCGCAGCTGGAGCCCGGGATTGCGGGGCGCCGTCCCCACGCTGCTCCAGGGAATCCCGACCGGCTTCCCTGCGAAAGCGTTTCCGAATGCGATCCCAGAGCATGTAAGCGCCCCAGCAGCCCCGCCCCTCTGTCGCAGGTGGGCCCGTCCTAGGGGTCCTTTTTGCCCTCTACCCCGTCTTGCAAGCCACTCAGTCGAGCGCCCCGTTCACGCTCCCGTGATCCCAGAAACCCGCACCCATGATCTTGCCCCGTGCACATCCACGCACGAAGGTTCACAGACGCGCACCTCACTTCTGCGGCCCAGATGTCCCAAGTATACAGCCGCCACCAGCGAAACCGCGGCCCCGAGCCAGTGAGCCGTCTGCAGCTCCCAGGGTTACGGGGCTCCCCAGAACTCTGGGAAAGTCATCCAAAGTCCAGCGGGGATGCGGCCTTAGTTCTTGGCCGCCTGATCTCGCTCTCAGGTGCAGAGCGACACCGCCCCCGGCCCGTAGAGGCCAGGCTGGGCCTTGCCCTCGCATCCGCCAGGATGACGAGGGACGGAGGGACGGGGCCACACAGGCCGTGGCTGCGGAGGCGCTACCCTGGACCACCCCGCAACAAGAAGGGAGTCTGGCCGCCCGCTATCCCCGCGTCCCCCGCCCCATTTCAGCCAGTTGGCCCGACCCTGCGCGGGATAATTGGGACAGGAGGGAGGCGACAGGCGGGCGGCGGCTCCAGAGAGACTGCGCGCCTGTCAGCGGCAATTTGTTTAAGTGGACGGGACGGGACGGGCCGCTGCGGGCTGGGGTCACGGAGGCCGCGGCCCCCACCCCAGCCAGACCTGGGACCGCGGGGGAGCCCGGCCCGGCCGCTAAACCGGGCTGGCTGGCGCCAGGGCTCCGGGAGGTGCGGTATGGCTAGGAAGCCGTGATGGGAAGCGACTCTGTCCGGGGAATGTCCTTCACCCCCACACTCCCAAAGTCCAGGCGGGGACCGAGGCGCCCAGTGGCACCCTCACAGCTGCCCATAGCACGGGGCCACGCGCGTCCCCTGTGCTTAGCCTGGGCACATTCGTCTGCCAACGAGCGCTGAAGCCAGTCTGCAGCCCGCGCCCCGTCACTCGGACGCACGTCCGTCGTCCCCTCTGCCACAAGGCCACACAGCCCTATCTTTCTGCCGCCCCCTGCCCGCGGGCTCACGCAACCCCGGCCTCGCACACCGACGACGAAGCGGGGGGGACCCCCTGCCACCTTGGAGGCTTAACCTGGGGAAGGTCCCAGCAGTGCCCCTTGACCCTGCGAGGGGTGGCGGGGCCAGCGGATGGAAGGGCAGCCGCGCCAGCCTCAGGACCGCGGCCCCAGCCGGCCCAGGCCGCCCCCGCCCCCCGCCCCCTTTCGCTGTTGCGGGAAGCGCTGGCGCACTGTCCGCGCACCACCCGCCGGAGCCCATCCGACGCCCCGGTCGGAGACCGCCTGAAAAGGGAGGGGCGGCCGAGCGCGCGTCCCCCGCCCGTCTGCGGGGCCGGGCCGATGCGAAGTGACAGGGGCCGGAGCTTTGTTGTGGAGCCTCGGCCGCCTGGCGCCAGCCGCCCCCGCCCGCGCCCTCCCCCTCCAGCCCCGGGCGGCCCGCGAGGCGCCCCCCGGGGCCTCTTAAAGAAACACGCACACTCGGCCCGGGGGAGTCCTCCAGGGGTGCGGGTTCCAGGGAAGGGGAAGGGGGCTGGCGGGGGAGGGGCCCAGCGGGAGCCGCACGGCGCCGCTTCAGGGCCTCCAAAGCCTCCCTAGCGCCAGTTTTCGATGAGCCTCCGGCATTCCTAGCCGGAGAGTTTGGCTGGGGGTCGCTACAGACTCTTCGGAGCGGCTGCCACAGGACCTCCGGGCGATTGCGGGACGGCGGGGCGGGGCGGGCGTTGGGATCCTGACCTGGACAGACCCCGGGAAGCCAGAGGACAGGTCCGAGGCACTGTAGGTGGGGTCGCCGTCCCCAGAGGCAGCCATTGCACTGTCGCCGCTGGGTTTCTTGGTTAAATAGCCCAGGCCTGAGTGTTTCAAATTCTCCAGGCCTCGGACCCACTGGACCAGCTATGGATGGACTAATGAAATGGACTAATGTCTAAAACGCACACATTTAGATGTACACATACTCTTACAAGGACAAAAGTACGTGTCCATACACACACACACACACACACACTTTTCACACTCGACTTTGCAAATGTAGTCACAGATTTCTAGGCCGGTACCTGGATACCCGGCTAAGGAAAGCTGCCCTGGTTATCTGGTCACCTTGTCGGCTGCTCAAACGTGTCCACAAGGGTCCCTCCCCGAAGGGGCACATCTCGCTTATGGTGGAGCCGGCAGGTATTTGCCTGTGCAAAACTGCAACGGATCCTACCCCGGCTGCGTAGCCTGCGCTGCGCGGAGTCAAAGATTCGTTCTGGCCAGAGAGAAGGTACTAAGAGAGGAGCGACCCAGCCAAGAGCTAGGTCGTGGAGAAAACCCTGCGGGGGCGGCGCTCATACGTGCAGTAATGAGTTGTGAGTGCCCTGGGGTCGGTCCCGAAAAGTAGGGAAAACGGTCGCAGAGGCCGCACTGCTTCCCCGGGTCCCAAATCCACACTGCCGGAAGAGATCCAGCCTTTAAACGCTGCTCCCAGCGTTCCACACGAGGTGCCTTGCGACCGGTGTGCGCAGCGGGCGGGCGTCTGCATGGGTCAATGTTGGATGTGGGATGTACGCGCCCACCACGCGGTTTTACCGGTGGGAGTGTCACCCGTGGTTAGTGTATGCTCTGTTTTTTCCTTCGGAACACGACCTCCAGGAATCAGCCTGAGTGTCCGCGCCCGAGCCCTACTGGAAGCAGGTGCGTGGTCGCTCCACTCTCCCCGTACACACCCTGAGTTACAGCTCTTGCTGTGCGCAGGGGGCACCACACAGGGCCCGAAACACACACACACACACACACACACACACACACACACACACACATCACTTGGGGGGGGGAGGGAATACTGAGGCTGCCGGAAGAGAGAAGACAAGACTGATCGCGGAGGAGGGGGCTTCAGTCATAGGTGCTCCCAGACACCCCGACTCCTGCACTCGTTGCCTAGCACTCCTGAACTTAGGAGACTCCGAGAGATGAGAACAAACTCTTAAAAAGTGGTTGACAGGGCGAAAAGAGGATGCCGGTATTTCGGATGAAGGAGACTTTCGTCTCCGGTACCGGATAGGGCGAAAATTCGTTGGGTCGCGGGTGGAGAATCCGGGGTCCGCCCACGCAGTGCCGCCCTGTGCTCAGCGAAAGGTGCGCTCACCTTTCTAGCCTCGAGGACCCGCTCTCCCAGCCGCCAGAAAGCTCAGGGCGGGGCCGGGGCCTGCGGAGAACGCCAGGTTCCTTCCGAGTATTCCGGTGAGGGCGGGCGCGGGTAGGGGGTCCCCGCGTTTCCCCAGCGCAAGGCCGCGTCCCGCTCCCGCCTGCCCCGGCCCCAGCAGGGCTCGGCCATGGCTCCACTCACCAGCTCCCGCCACCTGGGATCCGCTCCGGGACCTCTGCCGCCCGAGCCTCCCGACTCGCCCGCCCACTGGCCTCGCTTTCCAGCGCCTGCAGTCTCTCTCCGGAGTGCAGGGACCCCCAGGCGGCGCCGCGACCGGGAGCTGGGTCGGAGGCCAGTCTGGGGCGCCGGCCAGAGCGGCCGGGCCTCCAGGCACGGGAGAAGGAGGGCGCCCCCCTCCTCTCCGGGCCGTGTCAATGCTTTGCACTTGGGGCCAGCGTGCGGCTGCGGGTCCTTCCTCAAGGCCCCGGGACCCCGGCGCCCCTCGCCTCAGGCCCTTTCGGCGGGTCAGGTCGGCCCTCCGCACTCTCCAGTCCCGCGCAGGCAGCCGTGGGCGCGGGCGGGCGGTGGGGGCCGGGACAGGAGGAGGGGTCTCGGGGCCCGGCGGCCAGTCATTGGTTAATATTTTATTCTGTTGACATGTTTTCTTACTGCTAAGGCTTCCGACACCTTCTCCCAGGCCCCCCCTCCCGGCCAGCGCTTGGCCTGAGCTGTCAAAACCCCGCCCCCGGAGACCCACAATTGGTCCAAAAAGCGTAAAATCAGCAATCAAGGGGGGCCTGGCTCGTTAGCGCAGGGGATCCGAGCTGGGCAGGACATGTGAGATAGTCACAGTTTTCCAGAGATCACGACAAGATCTAACCAGTCGCGCGTGGTCCCCGGCGCCGGAGCGGGCCAGCCCAGCCCAGCCCGGCCCCGCGCAGAGCCCCCGCCGCCCCCCGTGCACAGATCCCCGTGCCCCTTGCGGTGCGCCGTACGGAGAGCCCGGAGGAGCAGCTGCCGCGCCCGCCACCCGGGTCGTCCGTCCTCCGCGCGCGCCGCCGTCCGGGCCGGGGGTCCGAGCCGCGCGCCCCCGGCCCCGGCCCCCGGGCGCCTGGGCCGGATGTCCCGATGAGAGAGCCGGCGCTGGCGGCCAGCGCCATGGCTTACCACCCGTTCCACGCGCCACGGCCCGCCGACTTCCCCATGTCCGCCTTCCTGGCGGCGGCGCAGCCCTCCTTCTTCCCGGCACTCGCGCTGCCGCCCGGCGCGCTGGCCAAGCCGCTGCCAGACCCGGGCCTGGCGGGGGCGGCGGCGGCGGCAGCGGCGGCGGCGGCAGCAGCGGCCGAGGCGGGGCTGCACGTCTCGGCACTGGGCCCGCACCCGCCCGCAGCGCATCTGCGCTCGCTCAAGAGCTTGGAGCCCGAGGACGAGGTGGAGGACGACCCCAAGGTGACGCTGGAGGCCAAGGAGCTGTGGGACCAGTTTCACAAGCTGGGCACGGAGATGGTCATCACCAAGTCGGGGAGGTAGGGCGGCCGGCCGGCTGGAGGGCGCGCGGGTGGACGGGCGGGCTGGGGCACGCTACCGCACCGACCAGCGCAGAGCCCAAGACTCCCGGCTCCCGGCTCCCAACTCCGGGCTCCAGGCGCTGGCCCTGACGCCACGCTTCGCTCCCACAGACAACCAAGTTGACTTTTCTCGTTTGGCACTGGAGTAATTTTTTTTTTAACAAAAACATTAAAATCCCCCGAATGAAATAAAACGAAAACAGGCTGCTAAAGAATAGCCCCAACAGTTCTGAGTCCCAGCGCGGAGGAGGCCTCGCGGCTTGGCCCTGGCGGTCTCCTCCGCCCCGCACCCTCGCCCTTCTGCGTCCGGGTCCGTCTCCGAGCTCGGGGGAAATTCAGCCTCTCCCAGACTCTGCTCCTGCCCCGGAGCCCCTAGTGGGATCCGCGCCCCGCTAGTCCCAGGCCTGTCGCTCGGTTCCCGGCAGCGAGCCCTGGGTCAGCCGAGCCCACCGCGTCACTGGGCTGGGATCCCTTGCCCCACCGCGGGGATCCGAGCCCTGGGCGCATCCGCGGCCCCAGACCTTAAAGCCAGAAGAAAGCCACAGTCCCAGCCCCTCCACCCTTCGACTCAGCCACCGAGAATCCAGGCCGCGGGTTCACCCTCTTCCCCCGAACTGCACGGCCAGGATGTCTGATCAGGCTCTGTAGCCCAGTTCCCAATACAAACATCTTCCACATTTATTTCTGGGAGCTTCCGTCCCAAGTGGGTATTTCTCCTGAACGAATTTCGGGGAGATTCAGGAGAAGTGATAATATTTCTGGAGGACCGAGACTTCTCTCCTGGACGTCGGCTTTCATCTCAGATCAGGAAGAAAGAGGGTCCCCAGACCAGAGCGTCTCATCCCAGAGGCACAAGGCCTAAAGGAGGCCGTTTAGGGTCTGACAGGCAGAAATGGGATCTCCCGGGAGCAACAACCACATATGGGGTCTCCCGGGCAGCGATGAGAGGGCAGAGCAGAGGACCACAGGGGAACAGCCAGGCAGCAGCGGTGTGCGCCTAGCGAGGAGGGAGAAATAAAGGAGAATAGGGGTCCTCGGACCCAGAAGAGCCGGTTCCAGTGGAATCTCCTCCCTTCCCTCCCTCCCAGGCGGATGTTCCCCCCCTTCAAGGTGCGAGTCAGCGGCCTGGACAAGAAGGCCAAGTACATCCTGCTGATGGACATTGTTGCCGCTGACGACTGCCGCTATAAGTTCCACAACTCTCGCTGGATGGTGGCAGGCAAGGCCGACCCTGAGATGCCCAAACGCATGTACATCCACCCAGACAGCCCAGCCACGGGGGAGCAGTGGATGGCCAAGCCTGTGGCCTTCCACAAGCTGAAGCTGACCAACAACATCTCTGACAAGCACGGCTTCGTGAGTGTAGGGGCAGGGTGGGAACAACGGGCGGGAGATTGCCGACCTGGCACTGCAGCTGAGCAGGAGAGCAGGGCCCCAGGATCTCCCAGGGGGAAGCGCTGGGCAAACCCCCCAGAGTGCTCCTGCCGGGGTCACTATCCTGTGGCCTACCGGAGCTCCGCTCATCAAGCCTGGGGAATGGTGAGATTGGTGGTTGTTAAGCTCCAGACAGCTCACATTCTCAGTTCATCAGGCTGTGGAGGGCCCTCCTAGGTCAAGAGGGAGGCAGGTGCTGCCCGGACTGGGTCTGCAGTGCTGGGCCCCAGAGGTCACCCTGGTCTTGGCCTGTAGGTGCCGAGCTTGGAAGACCTGCCCGTGACCTCAACTTGTCTGTCACCCTTCCACCATGACCCGCGTCCCTGGCCCTCCCCTAAGACTAGGGGATTTAAAAGTTAAACCACCCTCCCCACCCACTCCCCAGCCTCCCTAAGACTTTCCCTCCTCCCACAGGCAGATGCCCAACTGGGAGGAGAGGGTGTGGGGGTTCTCCCCATTTATGCCTGAGCAAGGCCCCAGCAAATGGGGGGTGGGGTGGGGTTTCATAGAGCAAAAGGAAGAGCCCATTCTGAGGTAGGGCAGTTGGTGAGCCCCCAAAGGCTGGAATCCTCCCTCTGTGGGGTTAGGGGCCTTTGCAGAGCCAGAAAGGAAGAGAATGTTAAGAGTGGAATTGTAGGGTTTTATTTTGTTTAGGGTTTGGGGGAGGTCTTTTTGTTTGTTTGTTTTTGTTTTGTTTTGTTTTGCTATGTTTCATTTCTGTTTCCAACCGGGAATTTTTTTTTTTTTTTTAATGTCGAGAGAAAGAGACGCTATGAAAAAGAAAAGTGAGAGAAAAAGTAGAAGAAAAAGAAATAAGAGAAAAGAGCAGAGACAGGAGAAAATGGGGAAGGGGAAGAACCAAGAGAGAGACGGAGAAACGGAGAGGGAAAGGTCAGGTCCCCAAAGAATAGAAAAGCTAGGGCCAGGGCTGGCGGCTGCCGGCTGAACCCCGCCCTCCCCGCAGACCATCCTGAACTCTATGCACAAGTACCAGCCGCGCTTCCACATCGTGCGAGCCAACGACATCCTGAAGCTGCCGTACAGCACCTTCCGCACCTACGTGTTCCCGGAGACCGACTTCATCGCTGTCACCGCCTACCAGAATGACAAGGTGCGCGCGGGCGGGCGGTGGGCCCAGCCCCTGCACCGACTCCCACCTACCAGTGCAGTCCCAAGCGTCCACTCACCGCCCCCGCAGCCCCCACACCGGATCCAGGCGGTTGCGACCGGCTCCAGAGCACTGAGCCTCGCATCCCTGCGGGCAGCACCCACGGAAGTCCCCCAGGCGCCCTCTCAAGCCCACCGGGCGCACACACAGGCTCCCCTAGGGCGCGCGAACAGCTGGGCGCTCGTTCGGGTGGAGATGTTTACTAAGCAATTAGCAGAGACTCCGGACCAGCGCAGACATTTTTACATTTTATTCGTTCATTTCTTGGCTCGGGAATGAGAATGTAAATGAAGGAGGGCGCCCGAGGCAATCTGCCCAGACTCTCCGGAGGGTCGGAACCCGGGGCCCAGTTTTCACTCTCCCGGGGGAGCCAGAGGGTGGGACAGGTGACACAGCTCCCCCCCCAAAGCATCCCTGGCTACTGCTTTGGGTCAGTCCAGACCTCTTGGGAGGCGCAAGGCCCCTTGGGGGGCGCTTAGATAATTTCCTTCCAATTAAAGGGCTTTTTCTGCTTGCGGCTTCTCCACCCTCGTTCTAGTGGACAGAGCATCACCCCTCTAGGCCTGTGCCCTTGTGTACCACTGTCGAGTGAAAGAGAGGGTACGAGTGTCCGTGCTTGTCGTTGTGGCTTTGTGAACCAAGGTGTACGCTGGGCTGTGCGTGCTCAGTTTGAGGTGTGTTGGATACCTATGGAGACGGATGAATTGGTTTGGTTCTGTGGGAGCTTGTTCTGTGTATACTTGGCTTGCGCGGGCCCGTGAGTGTGATTTGGCTTTGTGTGTACCTGCGGCCTTGCGTGTGCTCTGCAGTCTCTGTGCGCGCCTGCAGTCTCAGTGCGCGCCTGCTCAGGAGCGGAGTCGTTTAACGTGTGCAAGCCCGCGGGCGGGTGAGCATGCCTGGGCGGGTTCCGACTCCGTGGCACAACTTTGGGCCTGTGTGGGCCTGTCTAGGGATAATTCCTCGAATGAAGTTTTTGGAGGAGGACCCTGTCGCGAGGCCCTCCCGCCAGCCTCACCTCGGGGCGTCTCATCCCAGGGGGCGTGGGTACCAAGTGGACGCTCCCTGGGTCTCCCCTCTGTGGCCACCAGCCGCTGACCTCGGGGTGCCCCCGACTAGGCAGGAAGAGCCACCGCCTGACCTAGCGCCGCCCCTTCGGTCCCCTCAGATCACGCAGCTGAAGATCGACAATAACCCGTTTGCCAAGGGCTTCCGGGACACCGGGAACGGCCGGCGGGAGAAAAGGTGAGGGGCGAGCACGGCAGCCCTGTGGCGGGTGCCCGAGGGAACAACAAGCAGGAGGGATACGCTCTTCCCTGACCCGCTCCTTCTACTCATCCCCAGGAAGCAGCTGACGCTGCCGTCTCTGCGCTTGTACGAGGAGCACTGCAAGCCGGAGCGCGATGGCGCAGAGTCGGACGCCTCGTCTTGCGACCCTCACCCCGCGAGGGAACCACCGCCCTCCCCGGGCGCAGCGCCGAGTCCCCTGCGCCTGCACCGGGCTCGAGGTGAGGGTCGGACTGGAGGAGGGAAGGGGAGGTCGTGGGTGGGGGGTGGTCAACCGGCTCATCTGAAAGGCCAGGGAGGAAGCTTCAGCGAGTGTCTGGGTTTCCGTCCCCGGACTCCCCTACGAGGGCGGTCCCGGTAGCCAGAAGATCCGCTCGACTCCGAGCCTGGCCCTTGGGCGCCGTGTAATTCTCTGGCTGTAGGGTTTCCTCGCCAGGGCTTCGTTCCATCCACTGTAAACCTCGGGTCTTGGATTAGGTGACCTGCAGCTGCCCCTTGCCAGACTCCAGCAGCTCCTCCGACTCGGCCTCCCCGAGAGTAGCCCTTCCTGAGTCTCCCTGATCCTGCGCGTCGGCCTCCCCCGCAGCCCCTGTAACCCGCGCGCCCCCTCTCCCCGCAGCTGAGGAGAAGTCATGTGCCGCGGACAGCGATGTTGAGCCAGAGCGGCTGAGCGAGGAGCGCGCAGGGGCGCCACTAGGCCGCAGCCCGGCTCCAGGCAGCGCCAGCCCCTCTCGCTTGACCGAACCCGAGCGCGCCCGCGAACGGCGCAGTCCCGAGAGGGGCAAGGAGCCGGCCGAGAGCTGCGGGGACGGCCCGTTCGGCCTGCGGAGCCTGGAGAAGGAGCGCACCGAGGCTCGGAGGAAGGACGAGGGGCGCAAAGAGGCGACCGAGGGCAAGGAACCTGGCCTGGCGCCGTTGGTGGTGCAGACAGACAGTGCGTCCCCTCTGGGCGCCGGACACCTGCCCGGCCTGGCCTTCTCCAGCCACTTGCACGGGCAGCAGTTCTTTGGGCCGCTGGGAGCTGGCCAGCCGCTCTTCCTGCACCCTGGACAGTTCACCATGGGCCCCGGAGCCTTCTCCGCCATGGGCATGGGTCACCTGCTGGCCTCGGTGGCAGGCGGCGGCAACGGCGGAGGCGGCGGGCCCGGGACCGCCGCGGGGCTGGACACAGGCGGGCTGGGTCCCGTGGCCAGCGCAGCAAGCACCGCCGCGCCCTTCCCGTTCCACCTCTCCCAGCACATGCTGGCATCTCAGGTAAGGCCTGTGACCCCGTGGCAGCGCCAGCAAGGGAGGAGGCCAGGGAGTTGGCGGCTGAGGCCAGCAGAGGGCCCGAGGGCTGTCAGGCGCGCTGGGAGCCTCTGGCGGACAAGAACTCCGTCCAGGGGAGGCCCCGGGTCGCACTTTAGGACCCCTGGGTTCTTAGAGGACTGTGTTGTAGGTCCAGGGTCTGGCTAGGGCCACGCTTCTGACTCCCGTGTGGCCTTTGGCAAGTCCCTGACCACCTCTGGGCCTGCTTCCTTCCCTGTGGCGCCAGCCAAGAGTGCAGTGCCCATCAGACTCTTCTGACCCTCACAGACCAGAGCCGCCCCTGGCTTTTGTGAAGTCTACTCTCCTGGCCTGAGGACATTTTTCTTGGGAACAAAGACCCTTGGCTCCCTTCTGTCCTGAAAGGCTAGGGTGGCCAGCCAGCCAAAGGGAGGAGGAACATTTGCATTATTTTCTGGAAACTTGACCACCAGCCCTCCCAGATGTCTCTGGCCCCTCTCAGGCCTTCTGCAAAGTCCTCTGCTCTGGCAAAGGACAAGGCTGGTCTTTCCCCCACCTTGACTTCCCTGGGACCCCCAGACACATGTCAGGAATGAGGACTCAGCCCCTCAGGCCCCATGGAAATTCTGAGCTCCCAGAGGAGTGATGCTGAAAATGTGGCTGGGGCACAGTAAGGAGATCCGGTGGGGAGAGTGGCCTCTTTGGTTGCTTGGGTGGAATATTCCCTGTGGAAAGATTTGGAATCTCTTCATTCATTTTCTTCCCTCTGAGGTTTCTGGCAAACTGAATCCTTGAGATCTTATCTCAAGGGAAGGAAAATAGGAATTCAAGTCTGAGAAACCTCCTTTGGTTCAGAAGCAAACATTTTAAAAGTTGGGGTGGGGAGCACAGGCAATTCTGAAATGAGTTTTACGCACAGCTCAGTGTTAGGGTGTGTAGAGTGTTTGAGGTATCAGCATCACTCATCTGGGGCTCTGGGCTGGAGGGGAAGCCTCCGGAGAATGGAGTTCAGGGCCCAGAGGTTTAATCTGCACCCCTCATTATTTGTGTATGTGAATGCCTCCTCCGCAAACTGGTAATGATCACCCGCATCACAGAGGTTATGAGGAAGTCAGGGTTTCCAGATACAGCCTTGCAACAGGTGCATTGTGCGGGTGAGAATACCAGTACCTGGGAGGCGTCCGTTGTTAGAGCTGCTGGTGGTAACATTCCCAGGCCAGTGCAGCCCATACCAAACTTCAGGAAGAGCCACATTTCAGATCAGGAAGAGATCTGAAGTCTCCCTCCTTCCTCCCAACCTGAGATGCCAGGTCTGAAATGCCAAGTAGGGCCTGGCCCTCTCAGGCCTGATGAAGCTGCCTCTTCCTTTCTCCCTGCTTGAGCCAGGCCTGAGGCTCCCAGGGAGCCCAGCACAGTTCTCAGCCCCCTGCCCTCCTCCCCATACCCACCCGCTCTGGGGAGTGAGCCATTATCTCAAAGGTCAGACCATGCAGGAGGCCGACCTCATGAACTCAGGAAGGTGCTTGTCCAGGGGTTCCTGGCTGCAGTGCCCTCCACAGGCAAAGACTGCATTCCTTCCTCAGCTGCCAGTGAGGTGCTGCCAGGAGTTCCCTGTAGAACTTTCAGGCCAGTTTATGAACTAGTTGGCACCTGTGCCCTCCTCCTGGCTCAGGCAGGAGAACCCTGAGCAGGTGAGCAGGCGGAAGGGGACTTTGCAAGGCTCTTTCCCCAGCCTGGGCACCCTCAGCCCTTCAGAGCCTGCAGATAGGAGGGGTGGTGAGGACACCGTTCTGAATGAGCAGAACCTCCAAGACAGCCAAAGCTGCCTACTTGCCATCTGGCCCTATGCCTGCCCCGTTTTCTCCCTAGAGGCCTTCACCCATGCTAGTGCAATCACCTAGACTGTCCTTTCCATTACCCCTTCTGTAACATCCAGCACAGAGCTTGACTGTAGGCCTTTGCATCTTAGTCCCAAGCGATCTCCCCCTTCTAACTGGTTTTGGCCACAGGCACACCAGCTCATGCTTACATGTGCTGCCTGTGGTTATAGTTACGTGAGCTGTGTCTTTACATCCCTAAAACAGCAGGGCAAGTTGTTGGGGGACAGCACAACCCCAGCACCCAGCCCACCCTCAGAAACACCTCAGGCAGGATGTCTAACCCTTGTCTTGTTCTGTTTCTTCCAGGGAATCCCAATGCCCACTTTCGGAGGCCTCTTCCCCTACCCCTACACCTACATGGCAGCAGCAGCCGCAGCCGCCTCGGCTTTGCCGGCCACTAGCGCTGCAGCTGCCGCCGCCGCAGCCGCCGGCTCCCTGTCCCGCAGCCCGTTCCTGGGCAGTGCCCGGCCCCGCCTGCGCTTCAGCCCCTACCAGATCCCGGTCACCATCCCGCCTAGCACTAGCCTCCTCACCACCGGGCTGGCCTCCGAGGGCTCCAAGGCTGCTGGCGGAAACAGCCGAGAGCCCAGCCCCCTGCCCGAGCTGGCTCTCCGCAAAGTAGGGGCCCCGTCCCGCGTTGCCCTTTCGCCCAGTGGCTCGGCCAAGGAGGCGGCCAATGAACTGCAGAGCATCCAGAGACTGGTGAGTGGGCTGGAGAGCCAGCGAGCCCTCTCCCCAGGCCGGGAGTCGCCTAAGTGAGGGGCTGCCCTGCTGCTCCCCTGCCTCGCAGGCCACCGGGGCTGCCTGCCTCTGCTGCTTGGGACGTGTACAGCACAGAATGGGTATTTATTTAAATAAAGGAGAAAAGTGGGCTGCAGCAGCCGGAATAGAGCCTCGTCTGGCAAGTCGGGGCCTGGGACACTTCCCTGGGCCTCAACAAGGAATCAGGCTGCCGGAAACACAGTCACTTGGGAGCTGCTGGGCTTGGTCCAGATCCACTCCAGCGTCAAGGTGGCATCCGAGGGTGTCTCTGGTCTTCCAGCCCAGTGGGAGAGGCCTCATCCGGGCCCCAGCGTCCCTGCAGAAGCCAGAAGGTGCAGGGGCCAGGGGTGGGAGCCCCGGAGGGAGTCCCAGAGCCCTGGGCCTTGGGCCTGTACCGCAGGAGAAAGCTGGGTTGAGGGATGCTGGAGCCAGTGAGACTGAAGTCAGTGTAGACTTGAGCTGGGAGGGGACCTGTCCTGTTAGTCCCTCCACCTCTTTCCCGAAGAGACAGGCACCCCTCCCAGCCCTGGGTCAGCGTAGGGAGTGGCACTTCTGCCTTGAGTCCCCAGGGGAAAAAAAAATATTTATGAAATAAATGGTAATTTGTGTAAATAAGCTTTAAGGTTCCCAGAATATGCAAATTGGTATTAATTTATTCAAAGGTGTACATTGCTGTGTACATATATTTAGAGATTAACTCATGCATTTAATTTTTTTTCCATTTTACATGAGCATCTATATTGTACAGGGTTGGAGGGGCCCTCGGCTGCGGGAGAAGGCCCCGAGCCCCGGAGGAGCCCCCACCCCGCCGGCCCCTCGGCCCCTCCGCCCAGGCTTGGCTCGCCCGGCCCGCGGGCTCCACCTCAGGTTTTCACTTTTCGCTCCGGAGCGAGAACGAAACGACAAAAACGCAAGAAAACAATAAAACGCTACAAAGCGAAGTGAACGGCGCTGTGCGCTCTGTGGGCCGCGCGGGGCGGGGGCGCTGCACGCGCGCAAGGAGGGACGAGAGGCGGGGACAAAAGGCTGGGCGCCCCTCGCCCAGCGTGGCAGCTGCATCCCGGGGGCGGCAGGGCTGCTGGGGCGCTGGCGGAGCCGCGACGCCGGGCGGCGCCGGCGCGGGGGCGCCGGCTGCGTCCCAGGCCGAGGCCGGGCTCCCCCTGCCGGCCGCTCCTGCCGCTCGGCGCCTCGGGCCTGGGCACCCACCCCGGCCAGGAGGAGCGCAGCCGAGCCGCCTGGACTCCGACTCCCTTTCCGGGCATCACACTGGAAACGCATCCCCTTTCAATGCTTCTGGGGGGGTGGGCGGGGAGGATGGGTGCTCCCTGTTCGCTCTCTCCCTTCCGAGGAGGGGTTCGGCTGTGTCCTACCCCCTACCCCCCTCCAATTATCGCTGAGCCTAGAATTCCCCTCTCACTACCTCCTGAAGCTCAAAGACAAACGTTTCCTCCGCGTCAGGGCTGTTAGCTAGAGTGGCAAAAACTGGACTAAAAGTTCTTACTTTAACTCATCTATCTAAATCCCTGTGGGGAGTGGGGTCAGGGAGCTATTTCTATTCCTGCCTCAGTTTCCCCTGTATAATAATGGGCTTGAGGGGGGTGTCTCAGGGATCCCGCTGTGTCAATCTCCATTAGGCTGGTCCTTCCCTGAGACCCACTCCTGCAAGAGTGGGTTGCCTCCCACCCCGCCCTGCTCCGGTGAGCGCCCAGAGCGCATCCTCCTCGCCCAGCTAGCAGGTGTCTCCAGCCCCCACTCCTAGCAGTGGCGGTGGGGAAGGGATGGGAGCTGGGCAGGCACTCTTTCAGCCCTGGGTCTGGTCGGTCACCGAGCAATCCACTTCCTTCCCAGTTCTCTCCTCTTTAAGCCTTGGGGACTCTGAACGTCCTGCCGGAACAGGCTGCCCACCTTGGGCACTGCACGGGGTGAGGCTTGGGAGGGTGCTGGCTTCCAAGACGCCAGGGACGTTGAGATGGAGGAAGAGTGAAAGTGATGGTGGAATAGACAGTTGGGCCCCGAGACGCCCAGGACGTTTTCGCAGGCCGATACATTTGCAAGAAGAGAGAGAACCAGGCCCGCCTCTTCAGGAGGGGGCTGCCCCCAGGCCACGCCGATTGAGGCTGGAGCGGGAAGGGGGCTCAGCCAGTGCAGAGTGGGAGGCTGCAGTAAGTAAACCGTGTCCCAACCCCAGAGGGTGGGTTCCCACTTCCCTGCCCCAGACCAGTTGGCAGGTCCGGGAACCCGACGGGGACAGAGAAACCCCTTTTTCAGCCCAAATGGAAGCCCGTGGGCAGCGCGTTGATTGGAGGTCGCTTTGGGCTGAAACGCCTCTGATACTCCTAGAGGAGAGGCGCGTTTGCGTCCCACGGCTTCTCACTTTCAGCAGGACATTAGGAGGGAGACGAGTCCGCGGCGGGCTCGCAGCGACCTGCGGACAGGGCTGGGGACACCAGGGGGCAGCACCATCCTGGGGTCGCGCTAGGGGCGCGGGCGCCGGGGAGAATGGTGGCTGCGAAGGCCAGGCAGGGCGGCCTCGTCGCGGCCTCTTTTAGGCTGCGTCGTTGCTGCAGCAACCCGGGTGGAGTGGGGTGGGACTCCAGGGCCTCGAGATCCCCCACCCCACTCCCACCGCCACCTCCCGCCGCACTTGTCCCCTCCGAGTCGCCCACCCGGCGCTCCGCTGGGCCCCAGCTGGGAGCCTGAGTGCGACTGCGGGAACCCGCGGCTGGTGGCTGGACCTTGTCCCAGACAAAGGCTAGGCCACTCCCAAGCCCAATTAAGCCACCCTTGTCCCCGGCCTCTCAGCCCTTATTGTCCCCGGGGTCGCCAATTAGCCCAGGCGCCCCGCGTACCCGCCGCTCCGGTGCCGCAAGGCCTCCTTAACCCTTCAGGGCCTGGCCCGGGGGCCTTGGACGGCAGAGCCTCCGGCAGGCGGGTGGCAGGAGGGCGGGTGCTGGGGCGATGGCGATGCCTGCTGGCGGCCTAGCCTGTCGCCGCCGGCCCCCGCGTGTGGGGCGTGTGGGTCTAAGAGAGAATTGTGCTTGTCGGTGTGGGGTGGCGCGTGCGAGTACCGGGGGAACTCGGAGACTGTGAGTTGAGTGCGGGGCCTCCGAGAGGCCCCTAGCGGCTAAGCCGCGCTGATCCCAAGGCCCGGGGACCTCATTTCCTCTCGGGTTAATCGGAGTCTTCCGAGCTCTCAAGCCCTTCCTCCCCCTCTCCCCCGCCGCTGCTGCGGAGAACCCGAGCCACCGGTGTGGCCTGGCCCGGCCCTCGCGAAGGGCGCGGCTTCCGGGCCCCGCTCCCCAGCCGACCTCGAACTCCTGCGCGGGGCGCTCCTGGGGCTGGAGGGGCGCGCTCAGCCTCACTGCCTCCAGGACTCCCACGCGCGAGCGCCCAGACTCGAGGCCGCCGACGCCCCATTTCCCGGCTTCGCGATGGCCCCTTGAGGGACAGCCTCCACGAGACCTGGATTTACACCCCGAGCCTGCCTTTCTCCGCTCTGGGAAGGACCCAAAATCCAGTCCCGCTTCCTCCCCCTCCTTCGCTGTCCAGGGCCCCGAGGTGCCGAGCACCGGCAGGCAGGAGCCCGCAGGAGGCCGAGCGCCCCGTGCTCTCAGGACTGGGCGGCAGCCGGGGAGCCCCTGCGCGTTTGGGAGGGAGCCCGAGCTCCGGCTCCCCTGGGTATCCTCCCGGGAGCGCCTTCGGGGTAGAGGCTGGTCGCCCGGGGCGCCGAACGCGTCCGAGCACGCCCGTTACGGTTTTGCGTTTGGACTTCGTTTGGGGCTCTCTGGAGGCGCATATCTGCTTCTCCTATTGGATGGGGATGAGGCCGGGGACCCCGAGCCCACTCCGGAAACACCCGGTTTCCAGAGCGGACGGCTGCGCCTCCTTTCCCCACGCGTCCTCTGGGCGGCTCCGCAGCGCCCCGCTGGGAGCGAACCCAAAGTCCGCCCAGGCCGCGGGCCTCGGCAACTCCCCACAGGTCCACGAGATGGCGCTGCAGGCCAGGGCCGGGGCCGGCCGCCTGGAGAGAGAGCGGAAGGTAGACTGGGACCCCGGCGAGTGGGGCACGGCGGTGCAGCCACGAAAGCACGCAGAGCCGGGTCCGGAGCCCCGCATAGGCAGCCGAGGGACTTCGGGGCTGCGGACTCGCGGAGCTGAGGGCTCGGGGCTCGGGATGGGGCCTTCAACCCTGCTCCCGGGGCCGCCCGGCAGCGCCAGCTTGGCGACCTTCCAAGCAGGCTGCAGACCCGACCTGCCCTCTTCTGCGCGCCGGCGGGGCCGGACCCTCGCGTTCCCTCTGCGGGGAAGGAGCCGCGGGACTCCGGCCTCCCGGCCCCTCCGAAGGGGGCTGTGGTTGGGATCCGCGGCGCGCCGGGCGCATGGCCCTGGAAGCGCGGGGCCAACTTGACGGTGAGGACTTGGGGGCGGGGTATGGGAAGGATCGGCGGGCATCCAGCGCTCCACGCGCGGAGAGGGCACTCTCGGCTCCGACCCGCCCTCCTCACCACCCTCACCCGGGTCTTCAGGGCAGGGTCTTCAGGGTCGAGGGCAGGATGTGCCCGGTGGAGCCGCTCCTAAGGTCCGGCCTCCATAGGGGAGGCTTTAGGCTGCGTTATTCAGCGGGAGGTGGTGGGGACTGGGGAAGGTGGCACAGGGGTCAGCCTGAGAATGTCGCCCTTGGATTGAAAGCCACCAAGGCTCTGGGTCAGGTCTGAATAGGGGGCAAGGGATGTGAGGCCGTTTGGCCAGGGAATGCCAGAGTTGGAGGGGGTGGGGCTTAGAAGCCTGTTTCCAGCTGAGCCTTTGTGTCCCCAGATGAGCTCTGTCACCCTCAGAGATTAACCCCACACACGTTTCCTCAGGGCACACGGCTAGAAAGCAGCACAGCTAACACCAGAGGGTCATTTCCACTGCAATACAGTCACCGGCTGGGTGATGTGACCCAGGCCAGATGTCCCCACACTAGACTCTCAGCTCTTTTCTCTTTCAAAGTAGTGTAGCAGAGAATAGGACCGAATCTTTGGTGATTTAATAATTATCTGCACGCCCATCTATGGCTGAGGTCGCTGCTTGGTAGGAAAACTGGACAGGAGCTAGATAGGTACAAGATCAAACTCTGCCTCGAGGGCTGTGGGTGCTCTTCAAAAATGTGACTTTATTTTCTGGGCCCCAGAATCCTCATCTGCAAAATAAGTAGTTTGAACTAAAATCAGATTGATCTGCGAATGGCCAGCTGACCTAGGCCCAGTTTCCAGTGACCACCCCACCCAGCCTTAACTGCCCAGACAAGAGCCATGTTCCCATTGAATGCTTGAGGAATCTGAGCCAGAGGGATAGGCAGAGTAACAGACCTGGAGGACCTTGGCCAAGATTCTTTGGGCGGGGGACAGGGCTGGTGGCCTGGGTGAATTCCCAATGAGGAAATTTCGTTCTAGGTCCAAACCCCTCAGGGAATTGGTGGCCTCCACTCCCTGTGGGATGTGGTTGTCAGTCACAGCTTGGCCTTCCACCTTGAGCAAGCTGCTTTTGGAGAGACACAGGCTGTTGGTTTCGGGGGGGGGGGGGGACTTTGGTCCCCAGCACCACACTTTGTTGACTGCATGTGACTTCTCCCCGAAGAGAGAAAGGAATACCAGTGAAAGCCATTCAGGCACCCAGGTTTAAGGGTGTTCCCCAGGCTAATTTCTCGCCTGCAAGGAAGCCCTCACGGCAGTCAACACACTTTCACATGTGGTCTCTCCCCAACCCTCGCTGGCAGGGTGGAGACTGTGAGTCCCCATTTCACAGACAAGACATTGAGGTTCAGAGAAATGAAGTGAGGTGCCCAAGGCCATCCAGTAAGTAAAGGACAGAGCTCTTTCACAATCCTGTGGGCCTGGCCCTTGGAAACCTTCGCTGATGAAGTGATGATGAGCGAGAGTCAGACTTGCAACAGGAAAAGGGCAAAAGGGGCAGAGGAGGGAGTGCCCGGATGTTCGTGGGAGAAGCAGCCTGGCTCAGAACCTAAGTCCAGCAGGCCGGGGGGAGGTGGCCTTGTGGCTCCCGTCAGCCCAGCTGGGCCCGCAGGGACCACTGGCCAGGGCAGGGGCTTCTCGGCATAAAACTAACAGGAGCATTGGGAGGGGGTGCGTCCCGTGCTCAGCTCAGGGCGTGGCTCATGTTCGCTCTCATTATTATTTATTTATTGCCCAAAGAGAACAAGCAGTATGTCCTCTGGCCCCATGATGCCTGCTCCTCAGCCTGACAGGAGCAGCTGTGGAACGGCCACTGTGTGCTTAACATACACCCAGACGTTTTATTTAATTCTCAGCACTGGGTGGTCGGTATGATTACCTCCATTTTACAGACAAGAAAATGGCCCAAGGTGGTAGAGCAGCTAAGAAGCAGGTCACAGGGCCACACCAGGCTCTGGCAGACCCCAGTCCTGTGTCCTTTCCTGGCCTGCCGTTCCTGCTCCACAGCCACTAGGCTGCAGAGTCCCCTGGCATTTGGCCTGTGGCAGGCTGTCCTGGGGGCTGGTTTTCATTTAGCCCTGGACTGGCTGGTCGGTTCCTTCATCCTGCCCTCGCTTTGGGTTTTCTTTATTTCCTTCTTGGGGGGCTGTCCACACTTCCATGTTTTGCCTGCCCACAACTGTCCCCATTTGCCCACGACAGTCCTGGTTTGAATACTGGTATTCTGAGTTCTGGAACACCTCTCAGTTTTGAGCAAGTCACCCAGTAGGTCCCTGCCATCCCCACACACATACCCCTACACTGGGCCGGGAGACCCAGGAATAAGTGAAGCAGACAACAGCGCCCTTATTGAGGGAGCCAATGATCTCGTAGAAGATAGCGACATTCAAGGAATATAACCCCTCCCAAAAGAAGACACAGCGGTGCATAGGGTGGGGTGGGAAAAGACTTAGCCCCAGGAAACTGGGTGCAGAGAGGAGCTGCAGAGCCTTAGAGAGGCTGGGGAGCTGGCAAGTGGCCTGGTTTCTCCAAGGAAAACCACCCCACCAAACATCTTCACATGTGCATGTATCCGTGTGTTCGTGTATGTCTGTGTGGCAGGTGCATGTCTACATGTGTAACACTTGGCAGGAGTGCAGAAAGCCCTTGCTGGGTGAGTGACTGAAGTGCACCTGGTCCCTCCAGGATACTCCCCCAACCCCCACCCCCAGGTCCTGGGCCAGAGGCCCCTTCTCCAAGTCCACTTGAGTCCCCCACGGAGAACTCTGGAGGGCTTCCGGTCTTCCTTTCAGCCAACCAGGCCTCCTCTCTCTCCTGGGGAACTGAGGCCCAGGGAGTGTGTGTGTCTTGCCTGAGGATGTGCCTCTGCAGGAGACAGTTCCAGGCCATCCACAGACATTCCTAGCCCTCAAATCCTGCTCTCCAGCTGTGTGGGTGATTCTCTGCTGCCTAAGGGTCTGGAAATTTCTGGCCTCTGGAGCAACCGCCTTGTCCCCCAAGGACAGGGCAGACCTCTCCACCTGGGTCCCTTGGGGAAGCTCCTAGCACATTTGCCCCCACAATCTTTCCTGTGGAGAAGAGGGCCTTCCTCAAATGCAGCTGAGATGAAGTCACTGCCCTGATTAAAGCCTCCCAAAGCCTTCCCTTGCTGTTGGGGTCAAGCCCAGCCTCCTTGGCCTGGCATTGGGGCCTGTGTGAGTCCTGCCTACTTACCCCCCTCCCCAGGACTCCTCCCCCACTGCCCACCTCTAGGCTAGTTTTGCTGGCCTTGCCTCGGCCTCCCCATATGCACATGCTTTTTCCTGGGCTTGGAATGCTCTTCCTGCCTTCCTCCAAAAAACTCAGCCCACTGGCTCCTTCTCCAGGGATCTGCTCCTCTGCCTTTTCTCTCCTGAGTTGGGTGCCCACGCACGCCCTGTCTCGTGTTAGTAGTCAACGAATGTGCGGACTTGGGCAAGTTACTCTACCTCTCCTTCACCGCTGCAAAGTGGGGATACTAGCACCTACTCCTGCGTGGTTCATAGTGGGGCCGGTCTGGAGCCGTGACCAATGAGTGATGGTTCCTGTCCCTTGGGGGGGCTCTAAGGACTGCTGAGGATGGAGCCTGGGGCGCTGTGCGAGTGGGGACATACCCCTCAGTCCAGCGCGGCGGCCAGGGCTGGGCCTGCCAGAGAGGAGCCCCCTTCCCACCCTGGAGGCCAGGCGCGGCCCAAGGAGGCCCTGCCTGAATGTGCCCTAAACCTGGGCGTTTAGACTAGAGGGGGCCCAACGGGCCTGCATGCTGGGTGTCTGCAGATGAACAGCGGCGAAGTCCTGAGGCCAAAGAGCCACCGTGCGCACGCGCTGGCGACACCTCCTCCCTCTCCAAGGGAAGCGCGGCCTGGGGAGGGGGCGTTTCTTGCCGCAGGATGGTTGCTGGTGACCCGGCTGGATTAATATCTTCTGTGGACTGCCTGCGCTGCGCAGGCAGTGGCTCCCTCCTACCACTAGGTGGGGATCTGGAGTCGTTCAGACCAGGAGTCGGTGCTTGGGTTCACGCCTGGAGCCCCTCGCCCTCCTGCCGCCAGCCAGGGTTTCCCCGGCCTGCCTGGCTGCAGCCTCCCAGACACTGGGTCCGCGCCCTGTGCCTCCACTCTCATTTCTAGATAGGCACTGCTGCCAGGGAATAACATTGAGGAAAATGAATGAGAACACGGACTGTGCAGCCAGAGAGCCCTGGGTTCAAATCCCAGCTGCACATGTAGTTCTGCGGCTTTCGCTCCTTTGGCCTCCACCTTCCTCATCTCTGAAATAGACTCATCTACTTATTCTGCAAAGGGTAGGAGGGAATGTGGCCGCCCTGATCACCACCCAGAGTGGGGGGAATGGGCAGCGTACTGTGTACTCTGATCCCTCACATAGTACAGCTAACCCGGGACAGCAGCTGTGTTCCAAGTCTTCCCCGTGCTCCTGTCTCACTGACAGAAACTTACTTATCCCACGGCTCCCTCCCTTGGGACCTTGCTGGGAGAGAGGGGCCCATCTGACTTAATGCATTGCTTTTCCAGATGCTGTACTGGCAGCTTCCATCCGGGCTGGGGTGGGGGATCAGACTCTGGCCTGTGTCCAGGGGCACCACTGCAGAGGTACAGATGTCTCCCCTCACGCCCCGCCTATTACACAAGGGCCCTGCCTCTTCTTCCTCCATCAGGCTCTGGGCCAGGGCTGAGGGATAATTTCCCTTCTCCATTCACAGGCAGAAAAACTGAGCTTCAGAGAACCCAAGACAGGGTCTATCAGTGGGGAAAAGCGAAGAGTTGGCCCAGGGAAAGGGAACATGGAGGTTGGGGTTGCACCAGTCTTGGTCTTGGTCACCTCGGTTCAGGCATCCCCTTCTTTCATGCCTTGCTGGTCTTTTCCCTGACATAGGAGGGATTTGTATGACAGTCCCCATCTGTTCAGACATCAGAACCTGCCACGCCCAGAGGGAGCTGCTCTCCCTCTCACCCCTTTGGGAGCCAAAGGTCTCTTCCCCAGGGTGGAAAGATGGAGGTTAAGAAGGGTTTAACCCTTCTTGTGTTCACAGCATTTCAACAAGGATGCATTGAGTGATGGTTGCGTGTCACGTGTGGGGAATCCTCCCCCTATCTCTCACACGCTCTGGACTCATTGCCATTTTTTCTTTCTTTTTAAAAATTGAGATATTATTTGCATAAAACGTACTATGAAAGGGTACAATCCATTAGTATTTACTCTATTTACCAGATTGTGCAACAATCACCACTGTCACTCCCAAGCCCTTGACAACCATGAAGCCGCCCTCTGTTTCTGTGGGTTTGCCCATTCTGGACATTTCATATCAATAGAATCATACACTCTGTGCCTTTTTGTGACTGGCTTCTTCCACTTAGCTTAATGTTTTCAAGGCTTACCCATGTCGCAGCACGTATTGATACTGTCATCCTTTGTACAGCTCAGCCAAATTCCATCACGAGGCTGTTCACCTCTTATTTCTTCATCATCAGTTGATGGGCATTTGGGTTGTTTCCGCATTTGACTATTATGAATGATACTGCTCTGAACATTCATGTCCGAGTCTTTGTGTGAATAGATGTTTTCATTTCTATTGGGTATGTCTAGGAGTGGAATTGCTGGGGCAAATGATAATGCTAACTTTTTTCCCCACCAGCATCCAAAGCAGTTAATGCCAGCTTTCTGAGGAACTTATCAGTTAGCACTTATCAAAGTGATAACTTTTTATCCAATTGCTGACTTTTTGAGGAACCACCAAACTGCTTACCGTGGTAACCCTCCCACCAGCAATTCCTTGCCATTTCTTGAATGTGCCAGCCACACGACTCCTTGGTCCCTGACTTCTTTCTTGGTGAGGCCATCACTGGCCATCTGATGGAAGACAGGAGCCCACTTTCAGCTTCTGCACTGCCTTCCTCCCTGCCTCTGGTTGTTGATGTCGGATGTGCTGAGATGATTTTACTTACTTACTTTGTTTGTTTCCCCTCACTAGAACTGAGCTTTGTTCATGGTTCTATCTTTGGTCCTAGAACATTTTGTGGCACATCTAGTGCTCAATCAATGTCTGTTGAGTAACATGAGTGAAGGAATGTAGGATGCCATGCCAGGTACACAGGGCAGAACGCGGTGAGTTCTCATGGAAATGGACCAAGTGTGACCGAGGCCACAGGGAGGTAAACCGAGCGTCACTGGGGCCTCCTGCCTGTACATTTCTCCCCCTACCAAGTTGGGGGAGCCCTTGGGGGCTCAGGACAACCCATACTCTCACCCTCATCAGACCAGCAGAGAAGAAGAACCGGGCCTCCTCCCTCAAACTGGGCAAGAGCTGGGGAAACAGGTTAGCCAGCCATGTCGTCATCACGACAGTTCCGTCTCCTGGATGGGACACTGTAGACAATGCAGTGGCTGAGGAAGGATTTGGAGGGTGGCAGTTGGGGAGGGGATTCCTGTGTTGAACCCTTACCTGACATGATATACAAAATTAACCCGCAAATGCATCAAAGACCTAAACTTAAGAGCTAAAGCTACAAAACTCTTAGAAGAAATCACAGGGGCAAATCTTCATGACCTTGAGTTTGGCAATGGTTTTAAAAGTATGACTCTAAAAGTATAGATGACAAAAAATATAGATATATTGAACTTCACAAAATTAAATACTTTTGTGCACCAAAAGACACTATCAAGAAAGTAAAAACGCAACTCACAAAACAGAAAAAAATTTGTAAATAATATAGCTGATAAGAATTTAATATCAAAAATACGTGATTTCTACAACTTAACAACAAAAAGATAAATAACTCAATTACAAAATGGACAAAGGACCCTGAATAGATATTTTTTCCAAAGGAGATATACAAGTGACCAGTAAGAACATGAAAAGATGGCCACCATCATTAGCCATTAAGGGACTGCAAATCAAAACCATGAGATATCACTCCACACTCACCAGGATGGCTGGAATTTAAAAAGAGAGTGAGAGAGAGAGCCAGGAATAGTGGCACACAACTGTCGTCCAAGCTACTTGGGAGGCTGAGGAGGGAAAATCACTTAAGCCCAGGATTTATAATCTAGCCTGGGCAAAATAGTGAGACCACCACCTGTACTAAAAAGAAGAAAGAAAGAAAGAGAGAGAGAGAGGGAGGGAGGAAGGAAGGAAGGAAGGAAAGAAGGAAAAGAAGGAAGGAAGGAAAGGAGGAAAGAAAGAAAGAAAGCTTGGCAAAGATGTGGAGTAAAAAAAAAATTTTTTTGAGACAAGGTCTCACTCTGTTGCCCAGGCTGGAGAGCAGTGGTGCAATTAAACCTCACTACAGCCATAATCTCCTAGACTTAAGTGACCCTCTACCTCAGCCTCCTAGGTAGCTGGCTCTGTAGGTGTGCGCTACCACTCCTGGATAATTTTTGCCTTTTTGTAGAGACAAGGTCTCACTGTGTTGCCCAGGCCGATCTCAAAATCCTGAACTCAAGTGATCCTCTTGCCTCGGCCTCCCAACATGCTGAGGTCGCAGGCGTGAGCCACCGCACCAGCCCTGGATGTGGAGCAACTGGAACTCACGTGCATTCTGTTGAAAATGTAAAATGGTGACGTTTCTGTGGAAAACAGTATGGTGGTTCTCCAGAAAGCTAAACATAGAGTTACCACATGGTCCAGCAATTGCACTCTTAGGTATGCACCCAAAGGAATTGAAAACAGGGACTCAAACAGACACTTGCACACCAGTGCATATCAGCATTATTCACAGTAGCTGAAAGTTGGACATGATCTCAATGTCCATTAATGATAAATGGATAAACAAAATGCGGTACATACATTCAATGGAATGTTATTTGGCCATACAAAGGAATGAAGTTTTGATACATACTATTTGCTCTATATTGAATATACATGCTATACAATATAGAGAAAACTTGAAATCGTGATGCTAAAGTGAAGTAAGCTAGACACAAAAGGACAAATATTGTATAATTCTGCTTAGCTGAAATAGCTACAATAGGAAAAGTCATAGAAACAGAAAGGAGAGTAGAGGTTACCAGGGGCTGGGAGGAGAGGGGAATGGGGAGTCGTTGCTTAATGAGTACAGCGTCTCTGTTAGGAACCATAAGTTTTGGAAATAGATTGTGCTCATAGTTTCATAACAATGTGAAGGTACTTAATGCTACTAAACTGTACACCTAAAATGGTTAAAATGGGAAATTTTATGTTTTATATATATATATATATCAATCACGTGTATATATATATATCATAAATGTGTATATCTATATCATAAATGTGTATATATATATATATAGTCCCAACTTTAAAAATATGGGGGCTGGGCGTGGTGGCGCACTCCTGTAATCCCAGCACTTTGGGAGGCTGAGGTGGGCAGATCACTTGAGGTCAGGCATTTGAGATCAGCCTAGCTAATATGGCAAAACCCTATCTCTACTATAAATACAAAACTAGCAGGGTGTGGTGGTGGGTGCTTGTAATCTCAACTACTTTGAAGCTGAGGCAGGAGAATTGCTTGAATCCAGAACGCAAAAGTTGCAGTGAGCGGCTGCACTGCACTCCGGCCTAGGCAGAGACCTTGTCTCAAAAAAATAAAAAATAAAATAAAACATAATAATAAAATTAAAATAGGATGTGAACGTAACAAATGTACCCCTCTGGTTGGGGACATTAGAAATGCGGGAGGCTGTGCATGTGTGTGGGGCAGACGGCATATGGGAAACCACTTATGAATGAATGAATTTGTATAAATAAACAACACCTTTCTCTCAATTTTGTGGTCAAGTCAAACTGCTCTAAAATTTTTTTTAAAGGATATGCATCTTTCACATAGATTTATTTGACAGTTTGTTTTCCAACAAATATGTATTGAGCAACCATTCAGTGAAGGCATCTGGTTGGCACTGGGAGGTCCATGATGCAGTTGTGCCCTCAGGGGTCCCGGGGCTGCAGCGGAGCTTGCCAAATTCTCCGACAGAGGGGAGCTGGATGAAAAGGACGTGCGAGAGCAAAGAACGTGAATTTGCCTCCTCAGTGTCTCCAAACTGCCCAGGGGTTGATTACAAGCGTTAAAGTCCTTTCCGTGCTACCCACAGAGGGGTCCACACGGCGTTGTTCTGGATTCCTGTCTTAAAGGGAAACTTTCACAATGTCTGGAGCCCTGGATGTCCCGCAAATGAAGGAGGAAGATGTCCTTAAGTTCCTCGCAGCAGGAAGCCACTTAGGTGGCACCAACCTTGACTTCCAGATGGCACACTACATCTAGAAAAGGAAAAGTGATGCCATCTACATCGTCCATCTGAAGAAGACCTGGGAGAAGCTTCCGCTGGCAGCGCGTGCCATCGTTGCCATTGAAAACCCTGCTGATGTCAGTGTCACATCCTCCAGAAATACTGGCCAGAGGGCCGTGCTGACGTTTGCTGCTGCCACTGGAGCCACTCCAATTGCTGCCGCTTCACTCCTGGAACCTTCACTAACCAGATCCAGGCAGCCTCCCCGGAGCCAGGCCTTCTCATGGTTACTGACCTCAGGGCTGACCACCAGCCCGTCATGGAGGCATCTTATGTTAACCTACCTCCCAGTGCTCTGTGTCACAGATTCTCCTCTGCGCTACGTGGACATTGCCATCCCATGCCACAACAAGGGAGCTCAGTCAGTGGATTTAATGTGGTGGATGCTGGCTCGGGAAGCTCTGCGCATGCGTGGCATCATTTCCCATGAGCACCCGTGGGAGGTCATGCCTGATCTCTACTTCTACAGAGATCCTGAAGAGACTGACAAAGAAGAGCAGGCTGCCGCCGAAAAGGCTGTGAGCACGGAGGAATTCCGGGGTAAGTGGACTGCTCCAGCTCCTGAGTTCCCTGCTTCCCTGCCTGAGGGTACAGACTGGTCTGACCACACCCCAGCATGCCAGGCCTTAGGGCAGAGGGCAAGAGTTCAGGCCGCAGCTGCCCTCTGTGCCTATCCAGCAGTTCCCTGCTGAAGACTAGAGAGCTCAGCCTGCCACGGAAGCTTGGTCTGCAGCTTCCACTGTCAGGCCACTGAATGGGTAGGAACAACCACTGAATGGTCTTAAGCTGTTCTTGCACAGGCTCTTAAGCAACATGGAAGTAAGGTTGATGGAAAATAAATACCAGTTAAAAAACAAACAAACAAAAAAACGTTAAAGTCATCCGAGCTCCATCCTGACCTACTGAGTCTGAACGTGCTCGGCTGGATCTCCATTCCAGGCCTAGGCAGGAATCCACAGCCAGAGGACTTGACTAGGAGGGTGTGAGACGGGCCGCGCAGCTTCCTCCCTGCCCGTGGCCAATGATTCACCGACTCAGTTCTCTCTACTCCTAGAGCCTCATGCCCTGGCTGCCAGAAGTTGCCCGGTCTATTCAAAGCTCTCCTTCAGGAGAAGCTCCTGACTTTGTGTCCATCTTGGGGGAAGCAGAAAATAGCTCCCCACCCCCTCCATTCCACTGTCTTTCTGAAGAGTAAAGGCTGATTAAGAGCTTCTGTAACTTGGGCAAATGTATCGATCCTTTGCGTAGATGGTGTTTCTGCTCCTCTGGCCTGAAGACTCAATGCCAACCCGTACCCCTGGCGAACACATCCTCCGTGTTGAGAATGGTGGGTGTGGGGGTGCGTGGGGGAGATTCTGCCCTCTGCTCACTCAGGCCTCAGGAGCCGAGGTCACCAGGCACCTGCTACTCTGTGGACACCCATTTTGCTTTCATGGGCCAAGTCCTGGAATGGGGAAGGTGTATGTGGACAGTGGGGCAGAGACATTGAGACATTGACAGAAGGTCTCTGTCTCAGCCAGAGATCACCTGGCACCTCGGGGTTAGCCACTAGACCCCTTCCTAAAGCTGGCTGGGCACTGACTTAGGCATCCCCAGCACATCAGGCCTTTGGGCAGAGAGCAAGAGTTCAGGCCCCAGCTGTTCTTCCCGCCTAGAAGAGAGTAACTGTCTTCTATTTGAATGTGTGCCTTGGGATTTTTTTTTTTTCTTTGAGATGGAGTCTCGCTCTGTAGCCAGGCTGGAGTGCAGTGGCACAATCTCAGTTCACTGCAACCTCCGCCTCCTGGGTTCAAGGGATTCTTCTGCCTCAGCCTCCTGAGTAGCTAGGACTATAGGCATGTGCCACCACACCTGGCTAATTTTTGTATTTTTAGTAGACACAGGGTGTCACCATTTTGGCCAGGCTGATTTAGAACTCCTGGCCTCATGATCTGCCTGCCTCAGCCTCCCAAAGTGCTGGGATTACAGGAGTGAGCCGCACCAGGCCGTGATTGTATTTTAAAATCCTAAATCAGGACAGCAGACCTGATAAAGTTCAGGCCTCAGCTGAACTTTTAAAGGACTTTTCTAGTTCTACCCACAGTAATATTAATCATCTTATTTCTCACCAGATTATTTCCAACCTCCAGTCAGCTAATTAGTGACCAATTGATTTCCATTCAACAATGATTAGTTCAACTTGTTCTAAAACAAATAATAATTATCCATAACATTAAATATTGAATACCTTTCTTGAAAAGAATCCAGCTAAAATAGACTCTGTCCTGGAAATGTGAGACCAGGGGTTTGTAAATGG